ACTTATTTACTGTAAATAGCAGGTCTTTCACCGAAACACCTAAAGAAACAGTAAAGTGTGAAAAGAAAGTTCTGTGGGGTTGGAACACTTTGATGTTTCTTCATGAGACCCGCAAGCTTCAGCCACAAGCGAACAGGTCTTGTTTTGTGTCAGGAAATCGCACGTTTGACTGTCACTCCTAATGTATAATGATATCTTTGCTATAGCGATCCAAAAATCTGAAAGCACTAGTAAAAATGCTCAACGCTCCGCTTTATTTTTCAAAATAAACTTTTTCAGGAAAGAATATGTAAAAAAAAAAATCTGAATATTTTATTTGGTTTGTACATCTTCTGCTTTATTGACAGCAACACAAGAACTCCACAAAATTAAAAACCTTTTGATCATGTTCTTCAGCATGACTATCTGCCCATCGGCACAAACAAATATTCCTTATTCATTTAGCATATTTTTTTAAATAGTCTGTTTTTTGTTTTGTCTGACCTATGGACTAACTGTATATTTGACATTAACGGTATTGTTATAAGTAACTTACAACAGTAATTATTACTGTAGAGCACAACAAAAAAGTTATTTTCTTAAATAAAACTGTTATAATCCAGCATGTGCTGCTTTGCTTAATAGGTGCTGGCCCTTTAAGAAGATAAGCATACCGAACACCTCCCCCTGTTGGAAGCCGACAGCACTGTGAACTTGACCTGATCTGACCCTCTTTCTCCCACCCCTCCCAAATTTCCGCTGCCAGAGCACTGGAGCACATTCCAGCTCCTCTTTACTGAACATGTGTGTGTGTGCGTCCATGTGCACACGTGTGTGTTTGCTGCATCTTCCTGCTCGGCTGACTTGCAGTGCATTCTCACACGTGAAACAAATGGAAAGAGAGTCTGTGTTTTAGCGCTGCCTCAAACGGCGGGACACTGAGGCCGGGAGAACGAGCCTCGGCCACAGATGCCTCCAGTGCCACCAAACCAGCCGTGTGCTCCGGTTCGGTCAAACCACCATCCTGTTTGTTTTGACAAGCGTAATATTTATTGTCCCAGCAAAAGCTTCAGAGACTGCGAGTTATAAAAAAAGATCAGAGGAGTATTGGGGCACGAGCCAGGTCATGTGACCCCTGCTGGAAACCGATATGGCCCGAAACGGAGAGCTAGATAAATCGTATATCTCTAATGAGGCTCATAGCCTAATCTTTCAGAAATGTAATTAATTTGATCACCTTTCGAGGGAGCCGTTTCACCCCGAGAGACTTGCGGTTGAAGCGTTTGCAAAGCGAATAGCCTGTTGAATGAGAGAAGGAGGGCAGTAAGAGTAATGGCCACTGTTTCTCGATCTGGCCTCCATGCGGGACCCCCGCCCCGCACCACCCAGCTCTTCGCTCCATTAGCAAAGATATCGAAACATAGCTGAAAGTTTCAGTGCACACACACTAACACACAGCTGCTGCTGCAGAAACACAGCCATTCCTGTTCAACTTCACTGAGATGAAGGGAATTTGAGCATGCCTTGCAAGTGAAAGATGGCCCTGTGCCTTTAAGGGCAAATGCTGACTGTATGCCTCTTTCACTCTCGCCTTTCTCTTGGCCACTCCTCCTTTTCCTTTCCTTGCGCTCCCTCTCTTTCTCTCTCTGCGGTGCTGCCGTCAGTAGGAGTGAGGGAGAATGGACGCAGTTCCTTATCGGACTGTTTACAGCAAGGAGTTTGTAGGCTATTAGGCAGGTCAGGTGACATGCGGGCTGCCTGTCTGACCCAGACAACTGAGGGTGAAGGTCGCCTGAGGGGGCGGAGAGACAAAAGGGGTGGAAATAAGAAAGAACGATAGAGTAAGGGAGCGAAAGACAGAGAGAAAAAAGCAGGCTGCAGCTGTGGACTAAAATAATTTTCGAATGCTTGGCCAGCATCTACAGCACTTATGCTGATGTGATATTGTTTTTATACAACAGATGAATAAACATAAAAGTTGGTGAATAAAAGATGAATTAAGTCAAAGAAGTACATTTTGTGTGGAATAGGTCAATTTCCTCCTCCCAGGTCAGTGGTGGGAGAAACATTTCACATATACTAATGTTCAAAAGTCATAGTATAGTAGATTTTTTAAAAGAAATTAATACTTTTATTCAGCAAGGTTGCATTAAATTGTTCAAAAGTAATAATAGGGACATTTAAATTGTTTCAAAGGATTGATATTTCTAATAAATGCATCAAAGAATCAGAAAAAAACTGTATGAAGGCCGCACAACTTCTTCAAGATTGATAATAACAAGAAATGTTTCATATTAAATCAGATTTCTCAAGGATCATGTTACATTGAAATCTAAAGAAATGGCTGCTGAAAATTCAGCTTTGCATCACAGGAATAAATTGCATTTCAAAATCTATTAAAATAGAAAACAGTTATTTTAAATTGTAATAATATTTAATAATATCTCAGTTTTTACTGGATTTTTGATCAATAAATGCAGACTTCTTTTAAAAACATTTTTAAAATCTTACCGACCACAAACTTTTGAGCAGTAGTTTACTCTGGTCTGGAACGCTGCAAACACAGGTGGAGTGACACAAACTGTAAAACGTTTCGGACTGTTTATCAACGCTGCTTGACCAATCAGATTTGAGGACAAATCTAACTCCTCTTTGCAGAGTTTCCATTTACATGTCTGATTGGTGCATACATTTAAGGTGCACATTAGACTCTTCTGTATATGAAGAGATGTAGAGTGCAGTAGAAAAGAGAATAAACAATTCCTACAACACTGAGATTGGGATTTAACTGAATAAAACGTTTGGAGCACATAATGTAGTACAGAGAGATGAACGCTGAGTCACCCTAACTGCTGCTGTTCTGAACACACGCACACACACACACACACACTTCTTCATCCTGTCACATTGACCACTCAACTGAACTTATAAGCAATGCACATCCTTAATATACACACACCATGCTGTCACCAAGACTGAGCATCATAAACTTCTACAGAGTCATATCTGAATTACTGTGAACGAGTAAACGGTATTACAAAGTTATATTGACATCTTCTGTAGCATGTTGTTAATTACCACAGAAAATAATGTTGACTCATACTTTGGTTTTTAAAAACGAACGGAAAATGCACTTACAGTAATACTTATACACCGGAAGCTCAGTGAGAGCTTGTAGTTAAGTTTAAGAGATTCACAGTAAAAACGTTTGTTGTTTAAGTTACTAAATTGTCTGAATCATAATTCCGAGGTCTGACTACTTTTCTACGTGGCTGAACCTAAGGTTACGGTTTATCGGCCGCAATGTTAAGTCCTGTGGGTGGAGTTTGCTTTACGGACAATTACATCACATTCTTTCCATGTTGCTTACTGGTAACCTCATGCTAGAAAATGTGTGTTTTGAATGTTTATTCAAGCTTAAGCGTATACAGTAAATAAATTTTTGTTTGTTTTTACAAACTAAAGGATGAGTCAAAATTATGTTTACTTGTAGCCTAAATTTAAATGTATAATTTATTCCTGTTATTCCAAAGCTGAATTTCCATTACTCCAGTCTTCTTCAGTGTCACATGATTCTTCATAAATCATTCTAAAATGCTGATTCTTTGCTGAAGAAATATTTCTTCTTACTATGAATGTTGAAAACAGCTGTGCTGTTTAATATTTTTGTGAAAACCAAGAAACAGTTTTTTTCAGGATTCTTTGGTGAATATAAAGTTCAAAAGAACAGCATTTATTTGAAATATAATTTTTTTTTTACATTATAGATATTATATACTGTCACTCCGATCAATTTAATGCATCCTTGTGAAATAAAAACGTCCAAAGTAAAGTTAATTACAGAGATGCAAACAGGTAAGGGGAAAAAGGATCGGGGGCATGCTCCACACGGAATTTCTTTTAAAGATATTTGCTTTACATGCTCATTTGTAGTTACTTTAAGCTACAGTTTGCTCTCGCTCTTCACCGTTCCCACATCTCAGACCTCAAATTCATAAAATATTACCCTTTTTAGAGTTTTTGAAGTAAAGAGTAAATAAAATACTATACAAAACTTATTGAAACAACCAGGGGACAGTTGCATAAACTTAACCACCATGTTAAGACTATGTCTTAAGAACTAGTTTGACCAACTAGCAGTTGCCAAGGGGTAATCAGTCTTACTTTTCCACTACAAATAAGACCAATCTGGATTTAAACTGAATTAAAAAAGTTATGACCCGTCTTGAAGAAAAAAATTAGATGACTAACATTTTAAGACTAGTCTAAACAGTTTATGCAACCGACCCCAGTTCTTTATTTACCCATGTAAGACCCCCCTCAAAAAGTGAGTTGTCACTGAAAGGTGAGGAGTTTGCATCTATGTAATTAATCAATTTGTGTTCTTCAAATGCCTGCAAAATGATTATGGTGTCAACTTTTATCAGAAACTAAAGCATAATGTCAAGTTCACGAATGATGAATGCAGGGTTAAATTGTACATCAGCCTAAATGTATTCCAACGGCATTCATAGCTCCATTTATACAACAAACATCCAGTAAATTGAAACCCATCTACCCACCTGTCAGAGCAGACCCACTTATTTTAAATGATTCACAGTGCTGGCTCCGCTTATGTCTTAAACTCTTTCTTCCTGTCTCTCTGGTTAAAACCAACTACACGTTGGTGATTCTGACAGCACGGCTCTGGTTTTAAAAATGTTGACTAGTGCGGTGCCTCACGCTGCATTCTGAGGCCTGCAAGCAAAAGCTGCACACAAAATTTGGCGCCCCTGGTATCAACAGCACAGGATGATGAGTCAACAGCTTTCTCAGAAGAATGAGCCAGAGCATCTTTCTGTGATATACGCCACACGCTAAACTGCCTCTCCACAAGCCTAGGCTTCTCTGTACCTTTGCACAACAAGACTTCCCAGTACTGCCATTACGGTTCAGCAACAGTGCAGTTCCGAGAATCATCCGCTCCCTCCGTACTGAACGGACGAGGATGTGTTCACATGTTAGCGGTCGTGCAAACTCACCTCTCTCCTGCACAAAGTAGGCGAGGTAGAGGTCCAGCTCCTTGACGGACACGCTGATGTGATGAGGCTGGACGCAGAGAATGGGATTGGAGCACTGGCCACCTTTGACCAGCCGCTCCCCATCCGTGCTCTCCAGCGGGATGCCCTTGAACAGAATCACCATCACCAGGTCCAGACGCCAGACTTTATCCGCCTGCCGCAGACAATCGATGCGCCTCATCTTCCCCTTCTGGTCCGGGTTCGAGAGGACGCAACATGGAGGCTTCTTCCCTGTGATGGCCAGCACAAAGTCCTCCCGACACTCAGGCCGGATGTCTTTGCGGAGCTTGGCGAGGAGGCGCGACGCCCACTTCTGTTTGACCTCGGGCTTCTCACCCAAGAGCTCATCCTTGACGGCGCGCTCTTCGTCCTTGGTCATCCGCTTCTCGTGCTTTTTGAAATACTTGCGCTTACGGGCCTGCAGGTTGAACCAGGTGTAGGCGAAGGCACGCACGTGCGGCAGCAGCGCCTCGATGAACGGATGGAATTCATCCTGGGAAAGGAAAAAAAAAAAGACGATATTCATGTGTTTACTCAAAATCTATTTCTGACAACAAAAGCCACGTCTGCAGTTCAATTCGAGTACAAAGGGGAAATGAATCATCCTGGCTCTTTTCTCTATTGACCAAAAGAGAAAACGTAAACTCCAGATTTAATTGTTTCTAAAAAATTAAAAAATTAAAAATAACTATGACATTGAACAGATTTCACAGTTAATTGTGTACAGGGTTTTCTATTGCACCCACAATCCTCCATTGTTTCCATCTTTCACCGAAGCCCCATGTGCAGTCATCATTTATCCAATTATGTTTTGTTGACTATTTTCACTTTCAGTGGTAAGTTTTCAACAACAACAACACACACAGATGTACCTCCCGGGCACGTTGCGAACTGCAGTCCCTTAACCGTTTAGTGCGGCATTCATTTGGTCTGACTAATTACTTCCATATTTGACCATTTCTAAAAGCCTAAACTAGCACCAGACCGTGCTATAATTATTACTAAAACCCCAACCGAACATTAAACATGCGCATCTATCAATTATCATTAACAAGACTCGAAGCTCTGCATGCACCGTCGTGGCCATTTGTGCGTGTGTGTGCATAAAACAGTCATAATGAGAGCGCTGCTTCACAGTTCTGCGATAATCATCAGCCAAAAAAAATCCCCACATGTGAATGAACTTATGTTCAATAGAAGGGTTCTGTGCTTATGGCAAAGTAATGAAACTCAGGCTCAAGCTGAATGATGTCAGCTGTGGCATCAATATAGCATGACATCGTCACCAGCGTGTCACTTTTGCTTAGGCATAATGCAACCGCAGAGAGAGAGAAATGGCCAAGGGCTGCTTGGTCACAGTAATTCAAACAGAGAGAAATAAGGAAAATAAGACAGAGAAAACACAGAGTGCTCCCCGGTCTGGTTGTGCTGCGAGCAGTGAGCAGGTTTTAAAGGAACATAATGAGACATGACTTCGGCACACTGTGGATCTCATGCGATAATCATCCAGTTCTGCAGCTCACGGCAGTGAAAGCTCTTACACTCTCACAGCTGCTCCACAGAAACCATCTCCTGAAACACCAGAAACTTTACTGTCTTCTAACCTAAAACAAGCCTCACTAGACTGCTTAACACCTTCCTCAAAACACTACCCTCAAGACCTCAATTGATGGGTTGAGAGCCAAAATTGAGCCTTAGGTGAAAAACAATGCAGAATGCAAACAATAAATGCAACTAATCATGCCGTTTTGAAAGAAATGCAAAATACATGGTATTTTGAAAGAAATGCAAAATACATGGTATTTTGGCCACAAATCCATCTGAACAACTCTACGCAAGATATACAAGACCCAACACTATTACGACATCATTTACTTTGCCAGTGCATTGGTGTTGATGAAAAGAACAGAAATCAACAAAAGGAAGAAAAAAGTCCCAAACATACTTGAATTCGATAACAAATGCTAAAGTGCAGAAACCATATTTGTGTAAGCACTTTCCTGACATGGGAAACACAAAAACTGACTGACTGCCCTGTCCTTGTGCTGCTTCAGAGCTTTATTGAAAAGATTATAAAACCTCCTCTAAGAGTGGACGTTCTCGCTGAAATGTCCTGAAAAAGAAAATCAGATTTAACATATTTTTTGAACCCAATAGCAACAGCAGAGCATAATATGTTTTTATTTCCAGCTATTTAAACGTTTGTACTGGGAGAAGCTGAATGCAGACAGAGTGCAGTAATTGGGAGGCTGAGAGACTCACTGAGTGTACACACTCACATCTGTAATCAGTCGACTCCGACGGAGCTGATACAGTTACTGAGTAAACTTTCCAAAGATTTACAGAAAAAGAAAAAAAGAAAGAAAAAAAAGAATGAATATGGAAAATCGAGGCTGACAAAAACCAGAAAACCAAGCTGCACAAACAGACACAAGATATGATGTCCAAAAAAACTGCTAAACCCTCATCAGGTTCAATTACATGTGTTTGGAAAACGGTAAGGTCGTTTCATTTAGCTATGTTAATGTCCAAAATAGCTTGCCCCAAAATAGTTTCCCAAACTAAATTTGGGTTCATTGAACAAATATTCCGACGGACATTCTGGCTTGAGAACTTAGAAGAGTCTGGACACAATTTTCACCCACTGACAGCACAAATTTCCAGGAAGGAAACGCCAGGAGGAAATAGTGATTTCAGGAATAGAGGGGGATTAGAGACGGGCCTGTTTCCTTGCAGACGTGTGTGGACGTATTTTCTTCTCTTTAGAGCTCCTTTCACTGCTCTAGCTTCAGCACTAGCAAATACACCAACCACTCGGGCAAAAATAAACATTTGTTGGGCATTTTCTCCTTTTTCCGTGGCCTTGGAAAAAGCTCAGAGGCAGGTCAAATGAGGCCCAAACCAGGCAAAGACACACAAAACTGGGCAACTGTGTAATTTCTGCATCACTAGTGGTACCAAAAAGAACTGCAACAGAACAAAATTTTTTAAACGGGTTTCCTGAACATGGCCAAAATCATATATCACATTATGAGTTGGTAGAATCATGCACGATTCATGGATATGGAGAACTCTGCAATGTAATTCAATGCAATGCAATGCAATGCAATGAAATGAAAATGAAAATGAAAATGAAAATAAATAAATAAAATGTGCACCAAAACTGCAGAAATTGAAGACGCACACCAAAAGATATCGTTAAGTGTAGGATCAGTACAAAAACATCTTTGCATTGTGTTACAAATAAATTAAACAATTAAAAAAAATGTTAAAACTAAATTCTGATTGAATTGGTCACAAAGTCACTGTAAAATAGACAGCATATAAACATCTTTCAACATATTTTTTATTAATGTGACAAGTTGTAAATGAATAGTTCTATAGATAATTGTTAAATTTTTTTTAAAATATAAATAATTTAACAACGTTGTTTGCACTGCGCTCTTGCGTTACTTGATCTTTTTATTTTGGTGCATCAATCTGTTGAGTTACTTAGTATAGGAAATTATGATCCGCACTCACGAGAACAATCTTCTTTTTTCTTTTCTTTTACATTCATTACTGATGGGAAAAGACACAAACGTTTCGGCTCAAAGCCTTCCTCAGTGTGTAAAGCAATTCAATCCCTCCACCCACTTTTCAAATCACTAATTATATTGACGTCAACATTAATTAGCCAATGTTCAATTACCACAATCATTAAATCATTTCCACTTAAACCCTGGACAATTTACATATATATATCCAACACAACACGTCACATCCACTAGTACACCTCACAATATACCCGTGACTAAAACAATAGTTATTTAGGATCACATATTTATCACTATTATACAAACCTATAGTTTATCCTATCAATCATCAATATCTACTCCACCAATTAACTTTAAATTGTATAACAATGGAAAATTCAATAATTAAGAACATCAGAAATACATCGTCATAAACAATCATTGTTTTTCACACTGTAAATACTCAATTTATTATATAAAATATTAAAAATGAATAAGTTCAACCATAGTTCATTAAAGAAAGACAGAAAGATCTAATTCCTCATTCATACCATTTGGGTTCAGTGATTTAAGTTTATGAATCCAAAATGCTTCTCGTTTCAATAGTTCTTTATTTATATTACCTCCTCTACGTGACCCAAAAACTTCCTCCATTCCTATACATTCCAATTGCTTGATATCATGTCCCAATTCGTTAAAATGTCTCGCAACTGGAGAGGTTATGTCTTGTCGTCGTATACTAGATTTATGTTCATTAATTCTTAATTTCAACTGACGCAAAGATTTTCCTATATATATCTTTTGACAGGGACATTTTAACATATAGATCACATTACGAGTTGAACAGGTAATACAAGATGTGATTTTAAAACATTTCCGTGTTACTGGACATATAAACTCTTTACACTTGACCAAATTTTTGCAAGCGGCACAGTTTCTACACGGGAAACAGCCTTGTATATAAGCAGACTTTTTCCTCCTTACTACATCCGAGTTTACCATCATATCTGATAGATTTCGTGATCTTTTAAAAGTGAATAATGGGCGATATTGAAATTTCTCATTTAGAGATTCATCAGATGATAATATGTACCAATATTTATGAATGATTGATTTTATTATATTACTATGCCCATTGTATGTCAGGGAACAATTTACTGAAAATGTTCGTTGTTTTTTAATGGGCTTATCTATTTTCAAAAGATCATGTCTATTCAATTTATTAACCTTATCTAATGCATTATTTAACCAGCTTTGTGGATACCCTTTAGAACGAAATCGTTGAAATAGCAATTTTACTTGTTCATCAAATTCATGTGTTGTACTACAATTACGTTTTAATCTATGCAATTGACTAATCGGTAAACTACGTTTTAAAGGAGCTGGATGATAACTGTCAACGGATAATATTGTGTTTTTATCCGTTGATTTTCGAAATACCGTTGTATGTAATGACTCATTGATCTTGGTTACTTTAACATCTAAAAAACTGATCGTATCACAACTTTTTTCCATTGTAAATTTGATTGATGGAATTTTCGAATTAATGAAAGACACAAATAATTCTAATTCCTGTTCAGAACCTGACCAAATCATAAAACAGTCATCTATATATCGCATCCAAACCTTAATATTTGGCTGAAATGGATTGTTATTATAGACATGATCTTGTTCAAATTTACCCATAAATAAATTCACATGATTTGGTGCTATTGGAGTGCCCATTGCTGTACCTTGTACTTGCAAATAGAAATCTCGCTCAAATAAAAAATAGTTCTTGGTTAAAACTAATGTTGTAAGGTCCACTATATATTGTGATGGTACTCTGCTGTCATCATCTTTACAGTAAAATTTTAGTGCATCCAAGCCTACTTCATGAGGTATATTAGTGTAAAGTGAAGTGACATCAAGTGTTACAAGCCAATCCGTCATACTTATGCAAGGAATTTGATTCAATTTATTCAAAAAATCAGTGGTG